TTTCCTTTTTCCTCTTCTGCAGTGTCCATATAAACTGTAAAACTCCCTGCATAATTATAATAAAGCAATTTATATGCATGAAACAAGTGGAGCAATATGGCAATTGCCATACTGCTACACTTGTGAAAGTAAAATCTGTTGGGCTGTTTTTGGCATCAAGACAATTATTCTTATTGCCACATTGCCAGACAGGACACTGTAAAAAAAAAAAAAAAAGAAAGAATGAATGAATGCTGATCTTTACACCAATCAAAGTCAGAACAATTTCCATCATATAGTTTGACATTTCTCTGAATTAATAATGACAATAATGATGATAATAATAATAATAATAATAATAATAATAATTAAACAAAAACGGTAAAATACAGAGGACATGACCTCGGTGTTCTCAATTCTGGCTACAGGGCTGGTCCATGGCATCAATCTGCCAGTGTTTTGAAGCTAACATCAGTTAGCATCTGCATACCTTATTAGAAAATAATAAAGACAAAACAATAAGACGCCCAATAAAAAATCAGTGTAATGAGATGAGTCAGAAAGCCGTAGTTGTAGAGTCCTGATCTAACAGATTAATCAAAGGGAGAAAAAAAAGGTAGGAGTATGTTAAAGGTATAGAGGAGGATTTTGACTAATTTTTGAAAAGACCAGCCCTCTCCACTTAAAAAAATAAAATAAAATGCACATGCACAACTCTATACATGCTCTGACAGGAGACGCCTATTAAAAGTGTGAGAGCATGCATGAGCCAGTTTCTACTTGTGCATGCTCTGTTTTAAAGTTGCTGTTTGCATCGCTCAAACAAGCTTATTTCCAAAAGAAGATTTGCACTTTTTCAACTATGTCAGATTCACCACTAATGGGTGAAAATGGGGACAAGCACGTAGGAGGGCCTTACATAAACATATCACCATAATGATTGGCAATTAGGAGGACCACTTATTTTTATGATCCACCCTGAAAAAGGACAACCTCCATTATTCATTTAATATGCTTGAAGCTTAAAGGAACTACAGGAAGGAAAAATGAAAAGAAATACACAGACATGACCAGTTTTCTATTGCTAATGGGTGATGAGACATTAAAATAAGCTGCAATTCGGGGGAAGAATTTCCCACGTTGTCCAGTGTTGTTTTCGTCAATGATGATTATGATGAAATTATTTCGTTGACTTTCCTTTTTTCATAAGGATAACGAAAACTGAAGAGCTAGGCATGGATCTTTGATGATGAAAACATGACAACTCATGGGTGTGAGATTTTGTTGCTGAAACGAGACTAAACTATATGGCGCTGATCATCCTCTGCCAAGCATAAAAAAATCCCTTTGTCTAACTATCAAGATTTTATTTCTTCCAGCTCAAAGGAGGACTACCAAAAGGAATCCCTAAATTATATTTCAAGAAAATATTTCATTGCATACTGTTTATTTTTGGATAAAGACCCAGATGTAAAGGTACAAAGATCTTTGAATATTTCTTTCTCATAGTTTTTGTTTCTATTAATTTGAATATTTCAACATTTTAGTTAACATATTAAAAATTTAGGTCCCGATTGCGGTGGCATTACAAGGATATTATGTAGGTTTTTTCTGTATTTTTTAAAGATCATACTCCTGTGAATTTAAATCTACTTTGACCACTGAGCAGCAGAAACCAAGGTGCAAATTGAAGAAATAAAGCCAAAATTGCAAAAGTAGAAAGAAGAATGTTTTTGTTATTTG